CAAATACAACTGTAATCTGGGGTGATACTGGAATTCTTGCGGATGGTGCTGGAATCGCTACCGGAAGGCTTCCGAGATCGGAGAACCTCCACTCAAGACGATCGAACTGTTCAAGGATCTGGTGCGGCAGGCTTTGGCGTTTCAGAACAGTTTGATCAAAGTTGGGACGGGGGCTGATTGAAAAGATGACCATGAAGGGACTGCTACTGGTCATAATGCCGATTCGAAATGTGATTAGTGAGTTGGTTAGTAGGGAGAGCGAGACCCTGAAGGAGGAAATGAAGGGACGGTTGAAAACGCTGATAAAGCGGTTTGGGGAGGATAAGTGGATAAGTCTATTAACGTCTCTTTAAACTGTTCCCCTACAAGGGTTTGGGGAGGGGAGATTCGTGACGGAGCTGAAATCACAGCCGAACGAGGTTAAGTGGAATTGTAAGATGTTGATTGGTCAGTTGTTGGGCTTGAAGGTGAGCTCCTGAAAGTCGACATTGGTTAAAGGATAGGTTTAGCTCTCGGACACGACCCTGGTAACTCCACGCTGGAAATAACATATTTATAGGCTTGGCGGAAAAGAAGTCCGAACGCAGCTTTTAGAACTCTATGAGGTACGAATTGATTAGGAAAACCGAGTCACAAAAGGTCGTAAGGGGATCGGTGTCCATACGAAGACCACCATCTTGCCGAAGTAGTTTCATCAATGTTCGTTTACCATGTTTGACTCCGTAACGCTTCACCACTTCGTTGATCAGCCAAGTTCCATGATTCGTCCCTCATCGTAACTGACATCGATGATCACTCGGATCATGCTTTCCTATCATCGACAGCGCCCCAGCTTTTACAGCTTTTTCTGGCCGGCACTGCTTTTCTCCAGGGACATCATACTTCTCTCCATTTGTCCGATCGTTGGACTGTCTGACCGTGTAGACATATTAAACCTCACCTCCACCAGGGAAGTCTCATTCCGGTTGGAACTCCCACTAGAACGCTGGCGACGCATCTGTGACTGAGTCGATGGCTTTCGGAAGTAACTCCTCCCGGAAGCGTTCATCAGAATCTGAAGAGCATCTGGACCAGTTTCCTCTGATGATGCACGCTCGCTTCGTCTACTTACCACCGTCATCTGTGGTTCATCCGAGTCTACATCATACTCCAATGCAGTAGAAGTAATTGTCCTGTCGGAAATTGGAAGTGCTTCCCCGGAGAACGTCCTCGCTCGAAGCTTCGATTCGGTGAACGAGGCCGTTGCTTATTCGGTTCAGTGTAGTCGTTTTTCCGAGAAAAATTAGGAGCAACGAACCGAGGATCTGGGATAAGAGTGTGTAGAGTGACTGCCCCTTGATTAACGATTAATCACGTCTTTCTGCTATAGGCTAAGATTTACCAACTTGTTGAAAGAACGAGTTTAACGAGAAAAACTAAAAAGGGGAGGAACTTTAGCTAGGTGGACACTGATATTCTGCGGCCTTCTAACCTGTCGCAGACACCAGTTCAACCCCTGTCCAGCAGCAGACGGACCTAGACTCTTGCGAGTGCCCAATCATTGAACCGATTGTCCGGTCCGATTTGCTGATCCAGCTGCCTACATGTTATCATCATCTTCTAAAGGCCTGTACTATCATCGGCCCTTTTCAGGGCACATGTCCCAACTAAAATCCATATCAAAAGGTTCTTTTCAGGGCAATCATAGTGAAGAAACTCGTCACGGCCGGCGTGCAGGTGAACTTCGGCGACAAGATCTCAATAGTTGAAGCAAGACGAGCTGAAGATTGACCTGGAAGGATTAACCGTGAACTTGTGCAAGTCGGAGACAGATGAGCTGTGGCACCGGCGGCTCGGACCAAGGAATGAAGGCGATGGCATCGAACAACCTGGGGGAAAGCTGAGCTTCTGCAACGCTTGTGTGCAAGGAAAGTAATGCCGCGACCCTTTCAACGGAACTTGTGATCGAGCGACCAGGCCTTTGGAAAGGATCCACTCGGACGTGTGTGGTCCTATCGACCCCGCTGCTTGGGACGGCTCTCGATACTTCGTGAGCTTCATCGATGACCATACCCACTTCTCGGTGCTGTACGTGATGCGGAGGAAGTCCGAGGTCTTCAGCATGTTCCAGGAATATAAGGCCATGGCGACGGCGAAGTTTCAAGATTGACGGTGGACCCAGCACGTGAGTACGTCCAAATCGAATCGACGGTGGCATAGACGCCACAGCCGAATGGCGTTGCGGAACGGTTCAACCGAACTGTGGTCCAAGCCCGACAGCAGCCCTGCCCAAGACGGTGTGTAAAGCCTACGCTTGGGTACCCGATCAGCAGCGCAAGAAGCTTGACGTAAGGAGCCGGGAGATGGTTGGCTATGCTCCAAGTGGCTGAAGTGCGGTGAATCCTGCTTGCCGTGCCAGAAGTGCAAGAGGTGATCACGACGCTGAGGATGGCACACCCAACCGTCCCGAGGAAATCGAACCGTATGCTGATCAAGATCACGACGCAACTGACGAGACTGTAGAAACCACCAAAACCGGGCCGCTCCCTTCGCAACCAGAACAGCACGAATCCAAGGACTCAACCGTTGCTGAGGCGCTAGCGAAAGGGAGCGGTAATTTTCTCAATTTCTTTGCACGTTACGGAGCTGTTTCTGCCGGTCCATGCATTTCAGATGTCCCCAACTGCTACAACGATATCGAGGGCCGAGACGACCGGCTGAAAGCCATTCGAGAGGAATTGGATTAGATCGAGACGAACCGAGTATGGGAAGCTACAACATTGTCCCCAGGGTGTCAAGCTGCTCCAGTCGAAATGGGTGTTTCGTGTGAAGCAAGACGACAACGGCGAGGAGATGCGCTACAAGGCCCCGTCGCAAAGTTGATCACTATCCGTAGCTGTCGACGTGCACCATTGATTTCTGTTTCACCAGATGGGCGTCAAAACGGCGTTCCTTCATGGTGACCTGACACGCGTAGAAGCTGATCAGTTCCTGTACGGATTAAAGCAATATCCCCGCAGCTGGAACGAGCGGCTAAATAGAAAGTTGCTCAAGATAGGTTTCACCCGGCCATGTCACGACTACTGCTTGTATACGAGATGCACACCGGGGGACGAGCTGATCATCACAATTTACGGCTCAAGAAGGAACTTTCTACCGTGTTCAACAAGACCGACTGCGGCGCGGTGAACTACTTGCTGGGCATGAAGCTGATGTACAACCGAGAGGAAGAAACGCTTCAACTTTCGCAAGAAGCCCAAGTAATGAAGATCCTGCAGCGATTCAGAATGGTCACAACTGCAATTCGTGCAAAACTCCGATGGAAAAAGCGCTCCAACCGAAGCGTGATGGACCAGCGACGAAGGAACCGTACAGAGAGCTGCTGGGAAGCATGATGTCTCAACCCGACTGCAAATGAATTTCCTATTGAGTGTGTTGTTATAGGTGCAAGCTGACATCATCTTCTGTCGAACTGTGCTGCGAACTTAGCGAGAAATTCGTTTATGTTGCCGTGGTAAACCAAAGAGAAAGTCGATGAAGAGAATCGATCAATGAGGATAGGTCCTTTTCAAATGTTACGCGAGATGTACACCACGTTGTGGGTGCGCTCGGACATTTGCTATCCGGTAAGCTACATGGGACATTTTCAGCAGAATCCGGCCGTTCAGCACTGGCAGACGTTGAAGCGGATCGTACCGAGGACCGTTCAAGGTCTTCGGAGCAACCGCCCTAAGCGCAGCAGCATCAGAAGTGATTTGGTCGACTGGCATCCTCGAAGACCTGAAGATAACCGTGAAACCCATCATTATCGACGAGGACAACCGTGGCTGCATCGGTATGGCCATTAATCGAAGCGGTGAGCACCCAGAACCAACTAGCAGATCTGTTCACGAAAGGCGGTGGACATATCTCGTTTCCAAGAGCTGCGACGTGCCCTCGGACTAAACGATTGAAAAGGGGTGAAGACGGAGCAACCCGACACAGCCGTTATTCAATCGCAACATTTCAAAAGGTCCTATCTGCATTGATCGATTCGCTTAATCGACTTTCTCTTTCGTTAATAACTCAGCTGCAAAACCTTTCCCTGTTTTCTTTGACGATTTGGATGCTAGTTAGAAACCTCCTTTATCAAACTATGTGGTAAAAATAGCACGAAATCTTTTTGCATAGCAGTGGTTATCAAAAGAAAAAAAAAACGACGAAGAGAATTGATCCAAGCAAATAGGACCTTTTAAAAAGGTTCATCGAGAATTGCCTTGGAGTTCTAGTTCAACTCCAATTTTTCCCAAAATTCCCTTGGAATTTTTTCACCTCAATCTGCCATTTAAGATTCTTGGAAAATTCGTGAATCTACCCTAGTTCCTGGTCTAGATTTCGATGCTTTCCAATCTTAGGTGGAACCCAACTTGACTTTCCAATTCTAACGATCTCAGAATTCAGTTAGAATCTTATATTCATTTTAATTCACTAAATCACTTGTAAATCATTGTTTTCAATTTGAGATGGCTCGACTCTCGTTCCGAATTGTTCTCATTTCCGCTTGTACCATAAAGCTTCTCTACACCAGATCAATCAGCAACCACCAGGACAAAATCATTTCTGGACCCTTCCCATAATTCGCTCGTTAGTCTAGGAGTATGATCTTCCTCCCAAGTATCCCCCCACATCGAAGCAATTGCCAATCTTAGCAGAATCACTCGCCGAGTGAATCCGTCTTCGGGCGAGATGGCGGCCGTTCGTATTGGTGCAGTCGCCTGCAGAACGAGCAGACAGACAGGTTGTGCTCTGCTATTTTATCGCACAAAAGTTAAGCTAGTGTTGGTACCGCTGCTGCTGCTCCGATTTGGCCGAAAAGCAAATCTCTACACACACCCCATGATTTGCTTTTGCTTTTTCCTTTTTCTGACTTTTACAATCTGTCTGTCACTCTGCCTCTGTGTCTCCCGCTCTGGATTAATTTGCGTACGCTCTTAACCCCTCCCTTCCCTGGACTGTGGATTGCGGAGAATCAATTGACTCACCTGTTTTTTGTCCTCCTATTTATTGGCGAATCTCCGACTGGCAGCCTGTAATCCTCGGGAAAACTTCTGTCGGCGCCTGAGTCTTCGATGAAATCCAATTTTCTTCCACTGAACCGTGCACTACCGAGAGCGCCGATATTGATTTGGACACTAGCACACAGGAGGCACTCACTCGCGGCGCGACCGAAAAATACCTATATTTATCGATACAAATATGACTCGTTTTGGGCGAACAAACTAGGCGTAGATCTACTAGACACACTCAATTCCGCACAAGGCAACCTCCTCCGTCCCGTGCCGGATAAAATTCTGCAATTCTCACCGTTGTCGTTGTCGCTGTCTCGCTGGTTCCGGAGCCAAACTCCGAACTGCTTGCTTTAGCTGCCTTCCAGGCCGGCCGAACGCCGTTTGCCCCGGGTTAAGAGAGAGATAAAAAAAAAATGTTCCGATGGGTTGTTCCGTCCTGGAGACTCCGAAGTCCGGTTAAATGGCACGCCGAAAGAAAAAGAAACTCGCGATTCGAGAGTAATTTCCTTCCGCTGCTGCTGTTGCTCCTTCTTCTTGCTACCGCTGCTGCTAGTTGTTGTTGTTGCTGCTGGTACTGCTTTCAAGAGTAGTCAGAGCTCCACTTTTATTTTCTCTGTTCCTTCGCACCGTCGTCGTCGCCGTTGCCGTTTTTTTCCCCTTCTTTCTTCACTTTTTCAGCAGCCTTCTTTTCCGAACCCACAGGAATCGGAACGCAAATTTCCACTCGCACACACCCCAGCGGAACAAAATCAGAACCAAAATGGGTTCCACACACCCTCGGGCCAGCTAGAAAACGGCACTTCTTGTCGCCCAGGAGGAAGATCGGCACTACACTTTTTCACCAACCCGCCGCCGATTTTTCACCGTCGTCGTCACTCTCTCGCGGGACCCGCAAAGAAAAATCCATCCGCGGCGCACCGACGTTCGACGGGAATCGTCTCTGCTTCCGGTTAGTCCGAAACGCAAACCGCGTCCTGCTGCGACCAAGGCGAATATTTACACTTTGCACACCGAATTCCGGTCGATTTTTGCGTTTTTTCACTCGGCTTGGGTGAAATTTTCTTTCCCAAGATCCTAAAAAAAACTTCACACCACTCGCTCTTCGATCGACAGTCGACACCAAGAGGCAGCTCTTCTTCACTCACTAGTCGTCGTCGTCGTCGTCGTTTTCGTTTCGCTCCGGTCTCTCGCTCGCGCTCGGTGCTGAAATAATCGATTGTGCGTTGGAATTGCGACACTAGTCGCACTTGCAGGAAATTGCGCTCGAAAGTGTCAAACAGTACAGGTAGACTACACGCTTCTCGTTCACTCCACTCTGACGTCTGACGTCCGATCAGGATGGAACAGTTGCGAAAGCGGAATGCAACAGCGGCTTCGGGTTTTCGATTCGGCGCGGTTGGTACGAGTGACAGATGAGACTCGAAGGGACAAGATAATAATGTTTATATGAAATCATGTCAAGAAAATTCCCTTTTTTAGAATGTGGATTCGAAAAATACTTGGTCGTTTCGTTATGCCTTGTTCATGCTATTGCCGTTACAGTTGAAAACTGGAAAAACCTACTAGCGAAAGTCGATTTTACTCTCGTTCTAGTGTCGGAATTAATACCCCGTTCACATTACAACCTATATCACGTAATATAGGCTGTCTTGCAATGAGCACTCATACATAGGATTTCCAGTGAAAACTAGATGTATGGGTGCTCATTGCAAGACACCGTATATCACGTGATATACGCTGTAATGAGAACGGGGTATAATGCGCATTACAGTACGTTATAGACAACGCTCTATATCACGTAATTATACTGTTGATTATACCCCGTTCACATTACAACCTATATCACGTAACATAGGCTGTCTTTCAATGAGCTCTAATACATAGGATTTCCAGTGAAAACCCAACTAACAATTTTCACAACGTAAACGCTTTACTCATTTCATTTATACAGCCTCAAGCTGTATTTAAACGTTATACGATATGAAGAAACCTTTACTCAACCTCTATACAAGCAAATCTGGCGAACTTACTCAGCTACTTATGGCTGTTGGAACGGTCGGGAAAAGCTCTTATTGCATATCCATTAACGCTTCTATACAGCTGTTATCCTGCTGTTTTAGTTGTGTTGAACTTGAAAGGCGCTTATTCAACCTTTTCCCGGTTATCCAATAATCACTACACAGCTTTCTCTTGAAGCCGGGTTAAATACTGTTTACGCTTTTTTATGAAGGAATTTATTGAGTTTATGTAGCTGTGAATCAAATTAATTGAAATTAGTTACAAATCATCACCAAATTATTTACCCTGCACCGGAGGAACCTGGAATCGAACTCGAGACGACCTCATTGGCAAACCACACAGCAAAAAAAAAAATGTAATGTCGATCAATGTAATTCAAGCTGATGTATGAAATAATGATGTAATAGCAAAAAGCAGATACAATATTACATCAATGGATGTAATTTTGTTCGCAAAATCGATGTACATCGTACAATGTGATATTAAACAACCGATGGATTGACCTGGTTGCAGCAGTTTCGATGTAATATTCAACAACTTTTTTTGCTGTGCATGACACTACCAACTGTGCTACGCCAACACGTTGAACTTGTGTAAACAAATCAACATTCGCTTCTACAACAAATTCACTGAGTAGAGGCTTTATAATAGTGCACATGAATCACTTCTCTCGACTAGTTATAAAAGAGCAGAGTAAAAGCTGTAAAACTGCACACGTCTAAAAATAAACCTAGTTGACTGTGAAAATGCTTCCGAAGTTGCTCTAACACAGTTTATAAGCTGAGTACAGGTTGTTTAGTTGTTGAAAAAGCACTTTTGATGTTTATGTTATTCAGCAAGAGTGGTTGGTTGTGTAGAAGCTATCAAATGAGTAACATATTCACTTTGTTAGCTTTGTTTTGCAGCTACAAGTTGAAAGTTGATTAGTGTGTGTTTAAAAGTGACATTAGCGTTCATTGGCTGATGTTATTCAGTGCGACTGACAAATTGAATAATGGTTGTGAGAAAGTTGAGTAAACGCTCTCCAAAACTATTTTGCTAGCTTTTGCTTGTAGCTGTATCTGCAGCTTCTTTTCAACTACTTTACAGCACAACGCTGGAAAAGCTGGCTTACAAAGCTGAAAATGTTAGTTGGGAACTCACGGTAACCAGCGTAAACACATTAATGTGTAAAATTTCACACATTTCGAGAAAAGGGGCCTACTCATAAAATGTGTAAACTGCACTTAAAAAAATTTACACGTGCCGTTCATGTGTTTCACATTTGAATTGGCGCAATGTGGCAAACACATAAATTTCAAATGTATAACTTATGAAATCAGTCATACCTTACCCATGCTTCATTCACTTACAGCACACATGAATTTCATTTGATTTAAATGTCAACGTCATGTGCTTGATTTCTAATCATGAAATGTTTTGCATATAAATATGTTGTACCAGACATGCTAAATTTAAGCGTGATGCACATGAATTTCATGAAAGACCTTGTAGCAATCTAATAGTATAACTATTGGTTTTATATTTGATTTGTTGCTGTGAAAAAGATAACGGAATTTAATTTAAGCAAATCGTAGTCATGCATACTGCATTCCAATAGTACCGTACAAACAGAAAAATGTTATCCGATACCTTTGAAACTTAATACATTACTACGGTCCTCTTAAATGATAATTATTGAACGGGTTTCAGTATGTAAAAATGATAAACACGATATATTTCATTATAGATATATTGATTTATATTTTCATATTGTGTGTACAGTAGATTAATTGTTGTAGATAGCTTAACCTATCAAATCACATATCGCTGTCTTCGTGAATAAAGTTGTACTTTTTTCTATATACGTAGTAGTAGAATCGGATGTCCAAAAGAATTCATTTTCGTTCTAGAATTAAAATCATATAAATTTAGGTGCTCTGAGAGTGACATACGAGCGTCAATTTTGATATAAATTTGAGCCATAGCAGACTTGAAATATAGCTCAATCAAACTTACTTTTCGTCGAGCAACAAACTTTTCAGTCTCGGAGCACTAAACATTACATGACATGTTTGTTTACGTCTCTATTTTTTTGTCAAAGACGGATTCCGTCACGTGTAAAATTAGTTATTTCTAAGTGTGTATAGTGATCCCTAATTTCCTACAATGAATACTCACATACTCACGGTTAATAATTTCGAGGATTTTGTTAGGAAAACCTAACTCCACTAACAAGTCTTCTCTGCTAGCTGTTGCCTTCCATGTTTGTTTTGACACTTTAGGTACTCTTCTCATCTTTATAGTGAGATCCATTGCAATTCATGTGTCATACACGTTAAATACACTAGTAGGAAACAGTAGCGCATAATTATATGGGGATCTCTTTGACTTCGATAAGTTAACACATGAAATCAATGTGTGGTAGTATTGATTTCATAAGCAACAAAAACATATTATTTGTGTATGTAAATCTCATGACATCCGTGTGAAAAGCACATGATTCTATGGTGACAAGTAATGAACGGTCATCATATTCCAAAACACATGAATGGAACGTGTCATTTTTTTTGAGTGTGCGTTTACACCCTGGTTTACACATATATGTGTAAACCAAGCAAACGTCAATAGAAGTGTATTTTTTACACATTTTTCAAGAACGGTTTTTACAGCAAAATGTGTAAAAAGTAATTATTTCTAGAACTTAAATATAATGGGTGCGCTTGGTTTTTTATTAACTTTGGAATTTTCTTATTTGTGTCAAAGATAAAATAAAGATTGCTCGAATACAATAATATTTTATTAAAAAAAGGAATGCCATCAAAAAAGCGTGATTATCTATTACCCCAGCAGCCCTGATTTCAATCCCAGTCACCACCACTGGGATGTTCTGAGGCATAACATCTCTGATCACGCCGAGAATCACGCTTTCCTTCGGCAGGGAAGTAAAGCCATTGGTCCCCGGTTCATGAGTTGATGGATCGATAGGTAGGATCCAGAAACACACAAAAAACAAAAACTGTACCAGTAAAAATATTGACATTTCAATATAGAAGTATCAAAAAATTCGTTACCATAACTACGAAGATATTTATTTAAAAAATATAATTTTCAATTCAAAAACGAATGTTTTGATTTTATCTTGTAGTTTTAAAAGCTTAAATTTATAAATCGAAAATTGTTTTACTGTCAAAATTACTTCTTCAAGGGGAGGATTTCTACCTTTTTATGGGTTATTCTACATTAGCGTGAGTAAATAAAAACAACACGCGCCAAACAATAGGTGGAACAACATTTTACCAGCCACCAGCCTGTGCATCAACCCATGCAACAGTTCAGTATTGTAATTATTCCCTGTGTCTCGATCCCAAATACAATATTGAATCTTTCAGTAGTCCATTAGAACGGGAAAACCTACCTGGAACTACCTGAAGGACGTCTATACGGCTCTAGAAACGGTCGAGGAGCTCGCCAATGCCGGTAGTGGAATGGAACACGAGAACAAGAAACTCTCGAACAGACGCAAACCTCGCAAATGTCCGACAAGGATTTCAGTAAGTGACCTTAAATTTCCCCTGCTTGGGCAAGATTCTTTCAGATTACCCCTCGCGTTTTTTTTTTTTATCTAGTTCGTTTATTTGGGAGGCTCAATCGCGTTAGCTTTACGGAGCCGATAATTTATTGTTTACTGTGTGTAACAAAATTCACTTAATTCTATGTCTAGTAGGAGTTGGGCCGATTACTCGCGGCTTACTCGAGGTTAGAAGGGTACATTTTCGAAGGATAGGATCAGGGGAGGAGCTTGGGGTAGGGTTTCGTTGTCTCATCAGAGCGTTGTCGCCAGTATGAACGGTAGTGCTGTTCTAGCTTCGTCCGGAGTTTGACCGGCTATGGTGGGTGAACAGTGGGCGACGATGAGACTCATCGAGACGGGGGGACAAGACAAACAAAAACTAATAAAGAGAGACAAAAGACAAAAGGAATTAAATTCTTATACTAGACATTTGAAGAAAAACATAAACGGACTGCATATAGCAGAGATCACGGGTTGCCAACACGTCTCTGATAGGAACATAGGGTTGTCTTCCTTGGGCCTCGAGGGTATTCAAAAGTCGCTCTCTGGCGGCG